TTGACCACTAAGCGTGGAGGCTTGGATGTGAAAATTGTGGTGTCCCAAACAAATGACATTGTGGAAGCGTGTATGTTGGACCGAGGTGGATTTAGTTCTTTCTCCGTTAGGCAGTTTTGCGTGAAGTGGAGGAAAAAGACAGCGAATTGTTGGTAAATTTAAGTGGTTAGGTGTGTGTGTGTGTGTCTGAGAGTTCACTTCTGGTTCATGCTAGTGCAGAAATGTTGGGTGTTCCAGTTGGTTCGTTGGTTGGTTGGGTGGTCAGATGGACGAGTCGATGCCTGAATGTATGCACTCGGGTCATAGATGCCTGGGAGACATAAAGCATGTGAAGAAGTGAAATGAGGTGGATGCAGGGACAGTTGCGCTCTTGACCATATCCCTCTCTGTCCCCCCTCCTTTGCAGATCTTCCTTGTGAGCGACCCCCAAACACGACTTGATCGCACCTCCGTCATTTGTGGTGCTCTCGGTGGTCTAGTTGCCATTCGTCTGATCTGCTACACTCTTAACGTGAGTCTCATCACTCCAACTCTTCGTATTATTTTCATCATTGCCAATTCAGCCTTCATTGTAAGGCATACTTTGAAATCAGCGTCGGTTTTGTGCCTCTGGGCACAAAATATTGAGTACTTGATTTGCGGCGTCTATGCGTAGATAATTTTTGGTCAACTATGAATTTTGCAAGAAACTTACTCCTTGTTGCGTTGTTGGCCTTTAAATCTCTACTTTGTGTCATGCACTAACGAATGTTTGGCGTTGGTCATATTTCACCGCTCTGGCACTAACATACCTGACTAGTTGAGCACAGGGGTACTTTGTGGTGCAAGCGTTTAAATTTGGAGTAATTTTGTTGAGCGCGGTGAAGGCATAGAAAAGAAGGTTAAGGAGATTGAGGAGGATGCCATGTGACCTCTCCTCGTTTTGATTGTTTGCTGTGATGCTCCTGGCTGTAGTGCACAATTCCCTGTCGGCCATTGCAATAACAGCAGCAACACTGTCAGTCGGTGGATACATTGAGGCCGTCTACACACCTGCTCTGGAGCGTGGATTTTGACACGATGTATCCCTCACACACCAATGATAGGAGATGGAGATCTACTTGGAAATTGATGTCGAAGTGGTTGATATGTTGCGTAGAAAGTTAATGCATGACTCTGCTGGGTGTTTTTCATTCTCTTTTACATATCATCTCGTTCCTGTGAGCCATCACCGCAAGAAGGCATTTGAATGCCAAGGTAGTCGATCATCTCGTAGATTTCGATAGGTTTTATCTGTCACGTCCTCTGTCGGTAAAGTGCGCAGAAAAACTGTTCCACGATGCACACATTTTGCCTGCTAGTCGCATGAGTCATTTGTCAGTTGGAATGACGCCTTCTTCCATGCTGAGGAACGTAGGTGGATTTCTTTGAAGGGCCATTCCTCGTCGTTTAAGTGTCGCCTCACCTTTCCATCTGCCTGGGTTATTCCCCACTTATTTGCAATATGGCAATGTGTCAAAGTTTTAAACCACAAAACACGATGGGTGATTGCATAATTCATGCTTCCTTCTTACGCGGTTATCCCGCTTGCGATATTTTCCAGGGCTACGCGTTCGGTGTGACAGGTAGTCGTTTGACAACACGATGTCGAATCCTGCTCTTCGAGACCATTCTCAAACAGGTGTGTTGACCCATCTTTGAATCGCTCCATAATTTGTGTTGAGTTTCTTCTGGAACTGCTTCGGTGGTCCCTCCTATGGGTAATTAGATTTGTGAGAGAGGGATTAATGGATGAATGGATGGTTAGATCTGTGGACGAATGAATTGAAGATTGGATTATTAACAGAACAAATGGCTGAATGAATTGACAGAGGTACCGACTTAAAAGCAACGGGTTTGTACCAGTGGTCGCCTGCATATTTGGCCATATTCATCTGTGTAGAGGCCAATGGTTTGTCAGGCCATCATCACATCCAACAAGCAGGATGGCACGTTCTCTCCTGGTTTGTCTTTCCTCGGTCATAATTGGGCCTCGGCGAGTACACAACACGGGTAAAATAAAGCAATAATTGAATGGATGAATAAGCAGTTGTGTGAATGCAAAACAGCAAAACCAACTTAGCCAACGTTTTTGCATCGCTTTCTTTTTGAAGGAGGTTGGATGGTTCGACAAGCCAGAGAATCAGCCCGGCGCCCTGACAGGTCGTTTGGCGGCTGATGTGCCAACGTTGCAGAACATGACGGGTCGTCGACTGGCCTCTGTGCTGGAAGTGTTCGTTTTTATCGTCGCCTCTCTCTTCATCAGTTTCCTCTACAGCTGGCAAATTGCCCTTGTCTCTCTCGCCTACCTCCCCATTCTCGTAATTGCTGGCGCATTTGAGGTTCGTTGGCGAAGTTTTTCCTTCCTCATTTGTGAATGGAAGTGGCTGAATAGCTAGATGAGTGGCTAAGTGGATTCGTGAATAGTTGAAATTGTAGAATGTTTCGTCCATGCAGCCTTTTAGAACGTAAACCTCTTTTAATTTCCATTCGTTGAATAGTTGGCTGAATGGATGGGTGTATAGATGGAACGACTACTTCTAAGTTGAAGAAATTGGGTGGATGGCTTTGAAGGCCAGTCCTTTCTTGTGTATACGAGAAATGGCGGTCAAACACAGCTTCGGCCAATGTATTTCTCTTACTCTTAGTAAAAGTATCCGTCAACATTTGCCACCCAATTTATTACGTCAATCAAAAGTATAATAGATGCATAAAACACACATATTTTGAATGTGGTGAAACACTGTAATGCACTGGGAGTCCCCTGATCCACTCTCTACTCCATCGCTGGTCTTGGTATGCAACAGCAGATAGAGTTAATTGCCTGACAGTAGATGCTGTTGGAATGCCTCTTCCATGGAGAGTCTTCATAGGTCTCAGTCATCCAGAGTAGATGCCTCTCTTCGATCGCACACAGTTGGTTTGTTTATACAAAAGCCATTTTTGAAGCACCTGTGATAGTGTATGGTTCATACCTCGCTCAGAGTGGGCTTGTATAGGCTTTCACAAGTGCAGGGGTGGTGAGGTGTTAAATCTGTGAGATATTGAGTAGATCCGTGTTGTACTGAAGGAGCGCACAAATGTGTGTATGTGCTCGGTCATAAGTCGGTGTTGCCATTGCAGATGCAGACTTGGAGCGCAGAGGTGACGCAAAAGAGCGTGAAGGGTGCGTCTTTGGCACAAGAGGTCTTCTCCGCCTCGAAGACTGTTTGTGCGTTACAGGCTGAGGGGTATTTTGCTGACAACTACGCTAGTCAGGCGCTTCTCTCACATTCGTAAGTTGCGATTTTGATGATGGCGACATTTTATGGAAGAAATGTTCAGCAAATCGTATCCATTTGGTAGGTTTGGTTTGTTCATTGATAAACAGTTGGTCGACTGATCGGATGGATGGAA